TTATTTAATTTGGCACTGTTGTAATAAAGCTAAAACTGTGGTTCATGGTCTTGACAGCTTGCCTCATTGAAAAGGAAACAAAAGGGGGGAAAAAAAGATAGAGACAGGCAGATTAATTCAAATTCCTTTGATCTGGGTCCTAACTCTAAGGGGACCCCAGATAAATCAATGAGTCAGAAAAAGGGCAGTAAGATATAATCCAGAATACTGATGACACCAGCTGTCTGTCTGCCTACCTGTCTTCTGAGATCACCATCAAGGTATGAGATCATCCCCCAGGCCAGAGAAGGCAGGGCAAGATGGAGGTCCCCCAGAAATCATGGGGCCTGCAGCATCTGATTCCACTGCTCAGGGGCAGGAGGGTGGACATCCCAGCACTGGTTTTTATCTCCACGTCTTAAGATGTGAGTCAGTCTGAGTAGTGATAGAAACCTGCAATGGAAAAACCCAAGGAAAACCAAGATCTCCGGGGAAAATTATAAACAATCTCATACATCAAAGTTCTCTGATGATTTCTTTGTATGTTACAGCAGAAAGACCACTCCATGGGAGTAAGGAAACAAACTGTCCTTCCATCTCTGCCACTAATTAATTATGTGACTTCAGGAAATAAATTTACCTCAACAGGCCAATTTCTTTATGTAAATAAAGGAGAGAACAAGAAAATACCTAAGGTTTCCTTTAAGCTCTAAAATGTCTCAAATATAAACGAAAATATGTTTTTTAAAAGCCCACATTAATATTTAGAGTATGAAGAGATCCAAAGAGCAGGTATTGCTGAAGGTTCTAAAGTTTTCACCAGCTCTATAGACCCCCCAAGTGATGTGAACGCAAAGAGAGGGCCCTCCTTTAAAGAGTTAACATATTACCAAAAAGAGCAAAAGTTGTCTGCCCACCATCTTATTCAATCTTATTTTTATTAATTACTACTCCCTTCTCTTCAACTCATACTATTATAAAACACACAGTTCAGAGGCAAACTGTAACGATGAGGGAACTAGAAGTTAAAGAAATATGCGGGAATTAAGTACATAGACATCAAGAGAGTAAATGGACTGAGGAAACACTTTTAAATTATCAATTATTAATTAATTAATATTTTTGAGTAGGTAGCATGCATGTGGTACAAAACATAAAATATTCAAAAGGTATATACGGTTAAAAGCAAACAAAAACATCTTCTAAGAGATAAATCAAAGAAGGCACTTAGAGGCCTTCAATGTATTCATTGTGTTCTATTTCTTAGGTTGGGTAATGGGTCCAGGGGTTTGTGGACTCCACATATTGCTGTAATATGTATTCTACAGATTCCTTCACATTTATGGGGTATCTCATAATGATAATAAACTTAAAAGAGAGCTCAACTGTTCTGCGGAACAAAAAGTTTCTTCCATCCCAAGCCCCGAGCTCTCCATCCTCCTTACCTGAGGTAGTCACTGTTACCAGTTTTTCATGGTCCTTCCAGAGATGTCCTATACATAGATAAATAGATCCTCCCAGAGATATCCCATGCATAGGAAAGTAGGGGGAGTAGGGTGTGTTGGAGTGTGTGTATCTAGGTATGGTGTGTGTGCACGTGGGTGGGTGGGTATGTGTACATAGGCGCACAAGAGAGACAGAGAAAAAATAAACAGACTGCCTAACTGTGCCTCATTAAGATCAGATGTATGTCATAGGACCAAAACACACCTAGGGAACTGCTTCAATCCTTTTCTCTACAACAGAACTCTGTCCCACTGTGGCAGAGTTATGAACTAAGAAGAAGACTACACCGGCTAGATGCACAGACAGGGCCTGCCTGGTGAAAGCCTCAGCTATTAGCAGTCAAGAGCTGAGCCCCAGCACTGCTCTCTTCTAAAATATACCAGAGTCACTGCTGTGCCCTAATATTCCCTTAGTCTTAGCTTCCGAAATCCCAAATGTCCACCTCAGATAATTAGTTTTCTAATCACAATATCTTATACAGGTTTCCATAGTGGTGACAGATGCTTTAAATCCTCTAATCGTGGCTTGATCAGAACACAGATTTAGCAATACACATCAAAGGAAGACAGACTGGGCATACTGCACATCCTAAGATGTGAAAGAATTTCAATTTTGAAAGCCATGCTTTCAACAGCACCTGCTTTGGGCAAAGATTGGCTAAGATACAGGACGGTGGTTAGAGTATTTCTTAATGCGAGAACACATCGCAAAATATTTCGATAAAATCTTGATTGAAAAGGCTTATGCCTGTTTATTAGGGAAAGTATGCCAAACCAGATTTCTTCATTCATTCAAAAAAAAAACACCAAAGTTCTACCATGTGTCAATGTCAGGAGCCAATATACAGATGAATACATTGCTTCTGAGAAGCTAATAATCTAACTAGGGAAACATGTAAAAATGATAATTAGTCTACATTGGAAAGGTGGTCCTGCAGGAACAGAGAGGAAGAAAGGCTGACTATTGAGAGAGGTTTCACAGAAAGGTAGCAGCTGAACTGGATCTCAAGGGGTCAGTAAGAGACCACAGGTAGTGATGAGGATGAAAGTCTTTAAGTGCGAGTATGCCCCACCAAAATCTCCAAGCTCCAAATACTAAATGAAAACTGTCAACAAATACACAATGTACCTTGCTATAATATTCAGTATCCTAAAGTTTAACTTAGGGTAAAGACTTTGCATCTTGAATCTTGTCTAAAGGGGTTTAATTACTTTAAAAAGCTTATTAAACAGAAGTTTCATCTATAAAGCATATACACTCATGCAGGTCAAAATATTTTATTGCTAGAAAACCTAGGGCTCACATAAATAGTCTAAAAGCTTTGACTTTTTAGAAAGAATGGTTGGCTTTTAGTTTATTAAGACTTCATAACAGATGCTTTTTCATCTCCTATCATAAATACAGCTGTCATATTACTGTTACAATCCAGCATAATGGCTACAGCTTTAGAAGAAAACAGTAACGATTTTACACAACCAACACATTATTAAAGTTTCAGAACACTTAGGAACCACAAGTACTAGAGAAATCAGCCTGCTATTACTCCTTCCTGTATCTAATTTTCTCTAATTTTACGAAAACAGGCAAAAGAAAGAGGTTCACATACATACTATTCTCTGCAGACCTTTCATTCTACCTGTATCCAAATTCTTGTCAATTTCATCCATAAGTGTCTACATACTATTATCCTTTGAAAGTTTTATGAAGTAGCTGGTCCAACAGATGGGTGGCTAGCCCTACCCAACATATGCCATAGGAAAAATAGCTCTTAGGCAAGACAAGAAAATGTTAAGTCCCTTTCCCTTATCCAGCCATGAACAGTGAGACTCCCTTAGGGGAAAGCAAACAATCCTTTAACTTTTATTTTATTTATTTTTATTTTTCTAAAGATTGACACCTGAGCTAACATCTGTTGCCAAACTTCTTTTTCTTCCTCTTCTCCTTCTTCTTCTCCCCAAAGCGCCCCACTACATAGTTGTATGTTCTAGTTGTAGGTCCTTCTGGTTGTGCTATGTGAGACACCAATTCAGCATGGCTTGATGAGTAGTGCCGTGTCCGCACCCAGGATCCAAACCGGCAAAACCCTGGGCGGCTGACGCAGAGCACGGAAACTTAACCGCTTGGCCACAGACCTGGCCTCCTTAACCTTTATTTTAAAAAGTTACTGGACTGAGATGATCTCTAAATAACAAGGTGATCAAAGAAAGGAGAGGGTTCAAATGCTAATGGCTACTCCTTAAGATAAAATATGCATTTGCCCACATACAGTAGAGAACTAGAATACAGAGCAGAAAAAAAATCCAAGTCAGTTTAATTGGGAGCTATTTTATCAAAGACAGATGGGAAACATTCAGATAAGCATACTATCTTGTTTAGAACACAAAGTACAACAGATCTGGGGGAGGAAAAGGAAACGCCACCTGGAACACATAGCATATATGAACAGAAAACTCAACTAATAAATGACTCATCATGGTCTTATTTGTAAAACCAGAAAGAAAAGAATGGTAGGGGTGTCTTTCCTCTTTGACCCTTCCCTGTCCATAAAGCTTAACCTGATAGCATCTGATCCTGTCTTCAGATGGATATCAACACACAATGAAGTGTTCCCCAAGGAGAACAGTAAGACCAATTCTGCCACAGACACTATGTGCCAGAACCAAGAAGTCTCATCCTGCTTTGAATGAAGGCCAGTGGATAGGAAGAGGTCCCCAAATGCCACTTGTATGAATCTTTCAAGATATGGTCTGAAACAGGAAAACACTACAGACTACATTTTAGCAGAAGTCTAAAAATAACAAAAGAACATTCCCTATTTTTAGATATCTAACTTAAGTTTAAAAATACTAAAAGTAAAAGAAACCATTAAAAACAAAATGGAATTTAAAATGTTTTAAAAAACACTTTTGAATTGGGAAAACTGTTTTTAGAGACAGAATTTTAAAAATCTTATATTCTTTCTGTTGACTGCCTCTTTGCTCTAACTTTCCCATCTCCAAAACTTAGAGTTCCAATCCAATGTGTTATCAAGAGCATTTCCAAAGTACCAAAAGATGATATAGAATGGTTACACCACAAAAGAGAAAGAACAGCTAAGGAAAAATTTTAAAACACGCTTTCACAAAGAGACATAAAAATAGAGTGTAGATTAGTGATTAAAGACTGTAACGTATAAAACAGCAAAAGCAATTTAATTATCCTTCATCAAAAGCAGCACCACTGACAATAAAATACTTGATTAAAGAAGGCAAATTGGGTTTTTCTCTCACATAGGTCTCTCAGACTTAAGGCCAGTAAGTATCAATTCAAAGCTACGTCTGAATAACTTGAATTTATGATTAGAAAAAAATTATTGTTTTTATAATAAAAACCTGAAAAAGCAGTACATTTACTGGACAATTGATGTTTACCCCCATCCATCTTCCTCCCCTTCTCCATCCAATCCTAGCACAAATATGCCAAACCTTTTTAAAGAAACCTATGGCAAATAGGATATGAAGAAATATGGGAATTACCGGACTGCACAGCCATCATTAACATCTCAGGCTCCAGCAGAGTCATGACAAAATCTTCTCAGAAACAACAGCCCACAAATAGAAAGAAGAAATTCAGTCACAGAAGAAAGATGCTGTCTTCAGAAGCTACCAAAGCTTTCATAAATTCAGTCTCGTGCCTTATGCCCAAATCAGACTGGGAGAACTCACTCCTCTTCTCAGTGCAGTTACCAATTTATCCACCCTTCAGGCAAGTCAAGATGGCACAGAGTTGAATTACTGCCGACAGGAAACCAAAAAGTGCTCAAGTTAAGACATATGAAGCGCGGTTAGAACAGTGAGTGAGCTCCTCCCCTTGCCATTCCTCTCTGGGGGAGGGGAGAGACCTACAGAGAGAGACCTTCAGAAAACAGATCAACTGCTTTTTCTTTTTTCCTCTTTTTTTAAGAAGACAAGATGAGGTTTTGTTCAAAACCTTAGTACAACAGACTCTGCTACTAATGCAGCTTAGAGTAACAGATTAAACACAATCCAAACAACTCAATCTTGTGAAAGAAACAGCCCAATTACTGACCCATTAATGGGAGGTGGGGATGGGGATTAGGCACATACACACACACAAATAAATATGTACAGTGAGTTAGTTTTCTGAAAAAGAGCTCCAACGGCTTTTCATTTGTGATATTTATAGATAACAGGCTAAGGAAGTTGAATATTTAACTACAGAAGCTCAACTATTTCTCCACCCCTACTCCAATTAAAATATCTGTTTCAAAAAGTCATCTGAATCCATTCCTGGACTGTAATCTGTCTTTCAGATCTGCCCATCCCCTGAAAAAGCCCCTTACTTGTGCCTGTGTAAGACATGCGATCTGTGCATAGACAGCTGTTATCTGACTTTTCTACAATGCTTTATGATCTTGCTGGATGTATGGAACACAGAAGACAGTTCCAATATATGCGAATTTCCCTTTCCTGATAAAGAAACCAACTCTTTTTCCACTAGCACAGAGCAGGAACTTCTGAATAAGAATGAACATGGGCATTTTACTTTCCATTGCAAAAACAAAAACAAACTAAAATCCTTTCAAATTATAGCAATTTTCATTTATCCAAAATTAAAAGCCCATTCATTCCCTTTACAGTACTTTTTACTAACTGATATTCATAATAAGGATATTAAGATGCCTTAGCACATTTGACTGATTTTTAGATAGCTGAAAACTAGAAATCCATGTTTGGTATGTTTAGCTAGAATTCCTCCATCTTTCTGGTTATGTAGCAGTCTGTATCTTGAGAGCCTACTGCTGCAAACTCAGCCCAGCAAATGCCTTAATGATTACATAGTCAAACAAATGATAAATGAGAGCACTCAGAGACCTTAAAAGAGAAAATAATCTCAGAATGATTGAGAGCAATATTCTGTTATTAGAAAAGAGAAAGCAATGCAGATTTGGGGTGGGGGAGACTCTGTGGAGGAGAGAAAAACTTCCTTTCTTCCCCACTCCAAGAACATCTTGTTTAGAAGAAAAGCCAGAAAAGCTCTATATAGAACTGTGGGAATGACTCAACAGGCAACGGAGTGGCAGCCAGTGTGGGCTAAATGCTGCTCCAGGAAGACAGAAGCATTCTCACTGGCCCCTCTGGCAACCAAGCTCTCAAACTGCCATACGAAAAATGCATAAATTTCAACTCTCAGAAGACATGATAGTCTGGTCAGAGGTTAGCAACTAAAGGAAAAGCATCCCTCAAAGGTTGAGTCATTCCTGCGTCCCTATGTGGACCATACAATTTGCTGTGTGAGGGTTTTTCAAGTGAAACAAGTTCTCACAGTTCTGTACCTCTGGGGAAATAAAATACAAATGATAAGATTCCTGCACAGAAGATCGTAGGAAGGGCAGAGGGCTGCTTCCCTGCTGCCCAAACTTCTCTCTGCTGTAGAAGAGGGCTCCGACGCCACAGCTGCCGATACGCCAGCCCCACGGACATACAGACAGTCACACGGTGGCGGGAACAATCACACATCACATTTCAAATCATCTGTTAACTTTTTCACAGCAATTCCATATCCATTATCTCATCTGTACTTTGGGATAAAATGAGCTAAAGAAAAGAAAAACAATTTTTAAAATAGAAATCTAAAAAATTAATCTTTAAAAAAGGAAACAACAAGCAACAATCTGACTACTGCTAAGCTTTTGCCTTTACCCTGAAGGATATCAGCACAGCAACAGAGTCACTGGGAAAAGTGGCTTTACGTCAGGTTTCACACTTCTAAAAGTCTGACTCCTGTGGCAGCTTCAGTTCCACTATTTTCTGTGCAAAGGAGCAAAATTTCATACACAGAAAACTAAAATAAGCTTTGACAAGGTCTCTGCACAAGTAAACATGATTTTCAAGTTACTGGCACCAAGGAATGAAGAGTAATGATCTTAATTTGCAATAAAATGAAAGCTCTTTTACTTTTAATCATAACTCTTCAGTTAATCAACACAAATTGAATATGAGCCACAGTTTCTACTAACCTACTCTAGAGGGGCCTGATACTGCAGGATACCAATATAGTTTATTCACCAGGCTTTCTCACCCCTAAAGACTCCCAAAGGCCTTTAATGTTCATAATCAAGAGGAACTAGACAAGTTCTGATCCCACTTGACTTTCCTACTGGATTTGTCATAGCCTCCATGCTCTTCTTAAAACTTATTATTTCCTTGATTTTCTTAAAAATCCTACTTTCCTAACTCTTTGACCTTTCCTCTCAGAATCCTAAGTGGCTCTTCTTTCTTTGCCCCTCTCAGGGACACTCCTTTCCCCCTTTTATAGTCTCCCTGGGCTATCTCATCCTTTCTTGAGATTAACTATCACTTACAGACTGATCCATCGCTAGCTCTGACTTCACCTGTCAGCTACCAACCATGCATGTCTACCTGGCTATCTTAAACTCAATACGTTCAAAAGCAAACTTCCAGTATCATCACCCTGCACCAACCCCTCCAGATATACTGCTTCCATTTTCCTTATCTTAGGTAACAGTATTCAGGGCGCAAACCATAAATTTAGACTCCCCTCCCTCAGCCCTAAACATCTAAGCATAACTAATTATCTCCTAACATATTCCTCAAATCCATCCTTTCATTCCATCCCTATAGCCAGTGCTTTATTTCAGGTCCTTAATATTTCTTGCTTGGAGTATAGCAACAGCTTTTTAAAAACATTATAGAAAAGTTCAAACATACACAAAGGTAGAAAGGAATGGCATAATAAGCTATTTAAGTAGCCTGCCACTTAGCTTCAGAATTTATCAACACACGGTCAAACTTTTTTCATCTATTCTACCCCACATACACAAAGTACCCAGCCAACACTGAATCACTGTGAAGGAAATTCTAGGCATCATCTAATTTCATCTTTATTCTGTATATCTAAAAGATAAGAACTAATTTTTTAATATAACAATACCATTATCACACCTAAATTTTTAAAAATCCCTTTATATCATCAACTATCAATGTTCAAATTTTCCCAACTGTCTCATAAATTTCTTAGACTTGATTTATTCAAATCAGCGTCCAACAGGGAAAACATGTTGTAGTTCACTGATGTGTCTCTTAAGTCTCAATCTATAGATTCCCCCTTCCTCTTTTTCTTTTGTTATAGCTTATTTGTTGAAGAAATCAGGTTGTTTCCCCACATTTTGGATTTTGCTAACTGTATCCCCATGGTGCCATTTAACATGCTACTCTAACCCCTATACTTCCAATAAATTAGGAGTTAGATGCAGAGACTTGATCCAATTCAAGTTAAAGTTTTTCACAAGAATATTTCACAGGCGGTAGTGTGTACTTCAGTGATAGCTTCTTAACTGTGCTCCTTCTCTCCAGCCTTGCCTCTATTAAAAAAAATCCTTGTTACCAACTAATTATTATTTATTCTTCAAAACTTAGTTTAAGTGCAGCCTTCTCGAGAAACCCTTCCCTGATCCTGGCACTCTCCCCACCCTCCTTATTCCCTCCAGGGATAATGTTAAATACCCCTCATTTATGTTCCCCCAGAACCTGTGCCCACCTCTATTATTGCTCTTTACCAGATGGCTTAATGCCTCTGCATTAATAGATCTAGCACAGGGGCCAGGTTAAGTTCACGTGCTCCGCTTCAGTGGCCCAGGGTTTCGCTGGTTCGGATCCTGTGCACGGACATGGCACCACTCATCAGGCCATGCTCAGGCGGCATCCCACGTGCCACAACCAGAAGGACCTACAACCAGAATATACAACTATGTGCTGGGGGGCTTTGGGGAGAAAAAGGAAAAATAAAATCTTTTTTAAAAAAAATAGATCTAGCACAGTGTCTGACATGTGACAGCATTCATAAAGGTACGCCAAATGGAATGGAAAGCTCTATTTACTGCAGAAAGTTCTAACAGCAGGGGAAAAGTTCATAACAACAAAAGAATCCCTACCTACCAAGAAGAGGCAGGGAGTCTGCTACAATTTTCACTGGAACACATGCTGAAGGTATTATAATTTAGGAAACTACATGAAGAAGACTAAAATTATCCACAACATTGAAGTACAGGGTTAACATAAATAAGGACATTCACAATAATAACCTCAGGAATATTAAGTGCTAACGACAATGAAAATGCCCGAATTGTAGGCAATGAATAGGAGAAACCAGAGGAACAGAGCCTAGCTTACCTACAAAACAGGCAATCCTTTAACCATCGAAAGCTGTCAACCTAAGAACTGATACCATTTCTACGGTGGACTGTAGCATAGGCAGGTATACACAGAAATAACAAATGTCTTTTTATGATCTCTGTGGGATTTCAGAAAACTGAAATGTAATCTAGTTCCTATGTCCATTTCTGATTTGGGTTCTCACAAGTGCATGCAGTTTACTGAGGTTTAGCTCTACAAAAATCTAATGATCATACTGAAATTTTACAGGCTCCAACCAGTTAAGTCTCTCTCCCAGAAACCTGGTATTGGGCAAAGTGAAAACACCCAAAAGACAACATAACCCAGTATCCAGGCAAGTCTCTACAGGTCCTGGGCAGCCTCCTTTTCCTATGACGACAATCTACTACTGATGAAAAACTCAGTCAAGACCTGCAAAGCTGGAAGGATCCCACACTATCACAGGTAAGCTATTCCTTGGCCTCAGGATAGATGAAAGCTGTATTTTCAGCTAACTCTTCAAAGTACAGTAAATATTAAGGGCTGTAATGCCATAAAGATAAACAGCCAACTCATTCATACTGTGTGTCTGAAATATTGTCATTCTGCAGTATCAACGCCAATGGCAGCACAAAGACAAGGACGAAGCAGACTGACACTACCTCTGCCCTCAAGGGCCTTATAATAAAGTAGGGCAGAAAAATCTCTAACCAACAATTAAAGAAAGAAAAGAAAAAAATGAAGTGCTAAGTAAGAGCACAATGAGCTAAACACATGTAAAAGCGGCAGCGATTAGTTCTGAAGGAGGATGG